CAGTAAGAATGAGTAAAAAGGAAGAGAAGGACAAGTACATGAATCAAGAGGTAACACAAGAGGCGCAATACTCAGAAATAGAATCTAAGTATTGTGCCTCTGTGAATCTAAGACGGAGCGAAACTGGGCAACCTTGGAAGAATTTTGTCGTTCTACTTGCGGGAGTGCCTGCCGCTTGTACTGTTGTATTTTTGATATAATATTTTATGCGTTAGTTTATTGTTAGGTTACTTATTTGTGCAGTTGTGGTTTTTGTCGTTAGGTCCCGTCAAAGCTATACTTCTGGAATTACAGCCATGTTCCGCCTTACCTTTTTTGATATCGTTTCTACTATTTCTGCTCATCCTCTAAATTATATTTTGTACTATGCTTTCTGGATTGCAGTTTTTTCTGTTGTTCCATGACTTATTATTTCATATTCTTCGGTCCCCAAACTCGAGAGAATTTTTGGTTTTTTTGATTATAATTCTTTTAAAATGTTGTACTATCTTCTCAAATCGGTTTTTTTGGTTGGAACTAACTTCTATAACGTTATACTGTCTTTACAAATCTCTATTGATTTTCACAACTAAATAAAGTCCCTTACTACTTCGCTGTCTGCATCGTTGGGCATCCACTACATTTTCATTATTTATTATTTAGCTATTTCAGCAATCTCTGAGTTATTATGATATCCCGTTTCCTCTTTTCGATTGCAGTTGCATCCCTAAAATGTGACTGTAGTTGTTCCGCGGTTTTTTAAGTCGCTATGGTCATTCCCTTCCACATGAGCAATACTTACAGAATTGCCACAATTGTTCTATCTATGTCGTTGCACCATTTACAATTATATTTCAAGTATGTGACTAGTTTTTTAAATAATCATATGTTTTGATCAAGCATAAAATGTGAGAATTGCAGCCATTTGTTAAAACTTCCACCTTCCGCAATTACAGACCACATCGACTTGCTCTGACTATATGCTCTTTGAGATGTAATTTTGGCTCTTAGTGCTTAATGTGTTCGATTTGCAACTAATTTAAAAAATTGAGACGCTGCTTAACCTTACCAATACCACTGCAAAGTGCTTATTCTTTGTGAAAGATGAGTTCAAGTAATTGTAAAGCAACATCAAACACAACCCTAGTTACTTTTATTGCCTGATGTCCAGTTGTATGTGGCAGCATGCATAACAATTTAATATAAATCCTTACAAAGGGTTCAATAACTAAGACAAGGGAATAGCACAGGTTCATATATTTGTGGCCCTAAAGAGGGCCGTTGGATTTTTGAGTTCGTAGAGAGAGGATACGCGGAGGACGATATTTACGGTTGTTCTTCAGTGGGTAAAACACCATCTTGAGAAATTGTGACTCCAGCTAACAGCGCGTTCAGTTCTTGGTCATGTCTAGCTGCCAGCTGAAGATGTCGAAGGTCAATGGAAGTATCTCTGTTGTTCAGTGCAACGTTCGCTGCACGCTCCAATAATTCCTTTGTCAAGCATTCCAAAATCGCTGCCAGGTACACAGGTACCCCACTACTCACGTGCCCTGCGTGAGTGCTCTCACGCAGCATACGCCGAACGCGTCTGACCGCATAATTCGAAACAGCCCTAGACGACCTCGCCCTCCTTCTACCTCTCACTGACATGTTGCTTGAATAAATGTCGATGCCTGCTTGATCAGTATTTATAGATATCTTTCCAAATAAGTCCAGCCCCTTTTGACAGAGACCTGTGGGTGTGGCTTACTAGATAAAGCGCTCGACAAGATATATAAATGAGTGAAAGAGGTGATCAATAGTTGTTGAGAACAGAGCCTCCGAAACTGTTCGGTCTCGTAAGGTAAGGGATGGGGTAGGGTGGGGAACAACGCCACGCCCTCGAAGGCATCGTACTGGACGGCATCGGATTGCACAATATAGCGAGCGCTGCGCTCTCTATTTCGATGTGAAGCCCAGACTGCAGTGAGACTTGTATTGCCAGATGGGCTGGCATGGCGAAGTACGCGGTATCAGAAGAAACAAAAGCTGTTGCCAAACGCTCGAGCTTGAGGTGAGCGCACACTTATGGAGATTGATGACCTAACGGCGCCTTAGAAATATAAACGCGTACGGATCTACGTGTCCTTCTCCATGTTGTGTTATATTTAGGATTCCTGAGTGCATTTACGGAAAAGTATATTGTAGAGAACTAACAATTAGTGGTAGATAGAGCGCTGCGTATGTACAGAAGCCGCTCTTGTACATAATGATGGAAAAATCAATCACTGATGGCAACTTGGGGTTTATTAATTTTACGTCTAGCTGACGTGAGGAGGGCCAAAAGCGTCCATAGACAAAAATGCAAACAAATATGAGAGTTATACAACTTTGGAATTTCCCATCTCTCTCACTATAATCCAAATAATATGTCTGTGTACTCTGTCAAATTTCACCAAATGTAGTGTGACTTATAATAAAGAAAAGGGATCTAAGGAATGCCCAGTTCACATATTTGTGGCCCTAAAGAGGACCGCTGGGTTCGCCGCTAGCCACGGCAACATTTATCCACCAAATCCATAAATAGTACGCCCCTGACGTTTCAAAGCGTAGACCACATCCATAGCAGTTACTGTCTTTCTTTTGGCATGCTCACAATAAGTTACTGCATCACGAATGACATTTTCCAAGAATATTCTGAGCACACCTCTGGTCTCGTCATATATTAAACCGGAAATACGCTTAACACCCCCACGCCTAGCCAAGCGTCGTATAGCTGGCTTTGTAATCCCTTGAATATTATCTCGCAATACCTTGCGATGACGCTTCGCACCCCCCTTCCCTAGGCCTTTACCTCCTTTACCACGTCCTGACATTGTTTGGTGACACTGACACTGTGACGAGGAGTGAATGGTATAAATACTAGTTGGTCATACGACCTCGCTGGGACACAGCGTGCCACGCCTCCTTGGGTTGTTAATATCAGTCAATGACCAAAGAAAGCAAGAAAGAAGTCATCTATTTGGTTATTGGAAGCCGAAAGCACTTTCAACGAAAACCGTCAGACCTAAAGTACTTCAAGTCATCTTAATATAAACAAGTTTGGAAAGTTAGTCGCATTGTTGAATGATGTAAAAATTGGACCACTTTTCTCAGTGCTACAATTTTTAAATTATTCTGCCGTGATGGAATTTTGTTTAGAAGTCCCGTGGTCGTGGCTTGAATGAATTTACGCGGCGATCTGTTAACTCTGGCTTGCCTTCTGCGTAGAGCAATGTACTTTAGAAAGAGATGAAGTCATCGTTTAGTTAGTGTGTGAATTGAATGTAGCAACGTGAACTGTTCTGACTTATGAAACTGTGATCATTGCTAAATACCAGACCAAGTATCTGGTTACTGTTTCGCGATTTCCACGATTTCCAAGATGAAGTTAGCATACAGTCATTGCTAATTAGCATTGTAAATGTTGTTTGAAAATGAATGCGGCAAAATTTCGTTTATTTAAATTCACGAGTGCCATTGTTCACATTAGGACTGATAGAATAAGCAGTCGGGCACTTTTATTGCTACTTTAAACCAACGTTGAAATGCGTTGAGGGTGACAGTAAGTCACATCTTTTAGCAAGTAATCATTTTTCAGTTCTAATAGACAGAAAATTAGATGACAGCTTGACGAAACCTTCCGTAACATTTAATTATAGCTGCTTTCACTATGTGCGTGATTGACAAGTGTGTGACTGCTGTATTCAAGAATACTGGCTTTTTTTACGAAACACGGTTCCCCACAATCAACAGTGCGTAGGGAAATAGGATATGAGTTCGAAGATCTCAGCAGTCTTTTTTTCTGAAATACGCTTACAAATAAATCCGAAATTAATCCAGTATCTCCATGTTTTTCTTAACTGTCCCAACCGCCATCACTATATTCATCTTAGAAAGATATCTAGTGTCCGTCTACACTGAACGTTCTTTTGAGAAGACCTGGCACACTAAATTCTAGTTACGCTTTGTTGAAAAATGATCTATACCTGTACAGGGGCAACGATGAACCGTATAAATCGACGTGGATATATCTTTTTTGCACATATCTGAATAACCAGGTGACGCGGGATGACGTCATTGAAGTACTGAGTGATGGCAAAGTGTGCACCATGAGAAACTCGATATGTCACATAATCCCAGTTCATGTGCCAACGTTCGGCCGTTTGCATTTTCATTGGTTGTAGGATCAACTGGTAAGACAGCTGGGATACTGCGCGGCGCTTTATCTACAATTTGGGCTGTTTGCGTGTCTGTACTGAGTAGTAACGGCAAAATGTTCGCCATGCGATAAGTTTTATTGTCGTTTATGTTAGTTGTTTCGATGCAGTAGGAAAAATCTTTCGTTAAGAATGGCTTGAATTGACAAGATCAGTGATTCTTGCAAATGAACGAAAAACCGAATAGCAAAATTTTTAAAAAGGTTTGGACTTGAAATTTGTTCCGCTCGGTTCGGTTTCTGAAATTTTCCTGCTGGCAAATAAATATAATAGTAATTACCTTAACTTCATTACTAGAAGAAATCACATGCCAATCAGCAGTATATGTCGGGGAGGACCGAAGCTGTACATGAGTTGAACGACCGCTCAATGCAGCAAAAGTATAAAGAACCGGGTTTTCATCAGTTTCCAAGGATGGTACAAGGCTTAGTAGTGACTGCGACACCTGAAGTTCTGCGATAGTATTGACTATTGTTGTAATATAATATATAACCTTCAGGTCCATTTATTTGCAGGAATTTCTGACTCAATTTTATCAGAATAATTTTCATAGTTTTATCAGTAGAAAGCATGAGTTGATTTTGATTTGGAATGCTTGTAAGAAATAAATTTACTGGACTGTGAAAATCGAGTAAAACTTCGTAGATCTCAGAGGATCGCCGCAGTGCATTTACTTGAATTACTTCTGCGCGTTGCAATGAAGAACACCGTAGTAAAATGGGTTCACGTTTTTCTACATCCAGTTCTTGTAGTCTTTGCACTGCTCTTTCTTAAATTGAGAAGCAACAATTATAAAAATTCCATTCTTTCCAAATGCATTATCATATGAATAAGAATAAAGATGGCTAGAATTCATCAGGCCAATGTACCCATTCCAATAATGCATTCTCAAGTGTTTTACTCTTCGACATGTAAATCTAAGGAAGACGAACGAACGACAAAATCGTGAGTAGAGCATGAAGTACACTTGCGACTACCATACGCGCATCCCTGTCTGAGATTATTAAAACCCTCATATCCAAACGCTTGCTGTCCCTGCATTTCTTAAAATGAGACTGAGCGCAACCAAATCCCTAATTAATATGATTCTTGCCATCCTCTCTTCATCTTGCATGACATCCACGAGTTTCACCTTGCCCTCAATTTCACTTTACTAAAATGAGATCACAACGAACGCACTGCCGTCAGAATCTCGAGTCACAGATAATACTTTGACTCATCATTCCTAAACATCAACTTTGTCTCACTTGAAAGACAATCATAACTCCATTTTAATCTCAGAAATGAACTATCAATCAGAGACAATCCTCAATTACTCATATATTGTTATAGGTGTTTCGAAGAAATCCACGCAAACTTATGCTTTATAAGAATTTTACTCAATATACTATCTAAAACAGCCATCTGAACTGCGAACTAATATGAAAATGCTCAATTTCATTACTCCATTATAACAACTATGCACAAATGATGAAATAATCAGCGGTAAAATAAGACAAAAACAGGAATACAAACACTTATTCGTGGGATACATTCAAATTCTTTCAAAGTGAAAAATATTTGCAAAGTATGACTTTTACTCATTCAGTTTTTTCAGAAAGGATATGAACTAAAAATAAAATTATATCTGAAGCAAGTGAGAATTATTAAAGCTTCAACATTAAAAGTTTCAAAACAGAAAAACAATCATATCTTTAATGTAGTCAGAAGTAATTTCAGATCATTGGGAGATGCAGAAAAAAAATGTTCTTATAGTACGTATTCTGATGGACGCACATAGGTAAGTGAAAGAAAGTTCGAAGAAACCTGGATACTCATTACTGGTTGAGGTCTTCTAAACTGCAATCACAACACACAAGAGAAGAGCCAAATGCTGAAAAAGTAACGATTTGGAACAAGTTGATGAATTAATAAAGACAGACGCAAATTTATTCAAGTTTTATATAAACTTGAAATTAAGAAACAAAAGTCATTGTTGTCAACGCGAAAACCATATAAACATGAACCAATAGCTGTCAGAATAGTTAAAAAGATGAATTGCAATCGAATTTCTTTTTAGGTTCCATCTCACGCAGTATACAAACGTTGGTTTTTTGACATTTTCTCAAGTTGAAGTCGGTTATTCCAAGAGTTAAGGGCTGCTGCTTCTGAAAGTAATCGAGACCGCGGCCAATCCGGTATGTCCAGCCGTTGTCAAATCTGAAAT